TAGAATCTTCCCTTTCAATCAGCAGTTCAGGAGATTCTGATGGTCCAGGGGCCACATTTGAAAAACACATCTCCAAAGATTGCTGCTAGATTATTAGGTTTTCTAAAGCAAAATAAATATTCATTTATTCTACAAATATTTCCTGAATACTCGCTATGTCTGCCACTTGGTATCCACTAACATACAAGAAAATCTTTGCCCATTACCTGTATTCCCCTTGTATGTGAATTTTCCAATACCAAGAATTTCCTCTTTCATAGCACTTATCACACTATAGTTGCGTTTTTAAGTCTCCTTCACTCAAAGCTAAATGAGTGCAACAGGGACTACTTCCTAGAAGCAGATAGATAAGTCAAGATCTGAAAGATAAGTCCAAACTACTTGGACAAAAAAGTAGGAAGAAGTAAGTTCTGGGCAAAAGCAACAATGCGTAAGGAACCACAGAGCATGGTGGTTCCAAAAAGAAATTCAGTATGAAAGAACAGTAAATCGAAGGCGGTCAGGAGGGGGATTATGCCAAGATGAGGCAAGAGTTAATGAAAGACCAATTCTAAAGGACCTTATAAACCATATTAAGGAGTCTGGATTTTATCATGAGGGTAAGGGGAGGTAATCCAAGCTTTGAAGCAGGAAGTAGAATGACCAAATCCGCATGTGATTTCTCTGCTCAACAATCTATCAAATAAATTAAATTCCTTTAGCCTGGCATTCAATGCCTCCCTCTAACCTGCTCTCTTTAGCCCTAGGTTGTTTACTGGTCCCTCTCAGACATGTAATACTCCAAACAATCTGAATTACCCGTTATTCTCTTAACAAACTACATATTCTTCCTCATGTTTTCCCCTCTGTCTAGAACACTGTCGCTCTACTCCATGTGCAAATTTCTGAATTTCAGCCATCCTTCAAGGTTTAATTCAAACGAGTCATTCCCTAATTCCTCCCAATACTATTTATGCTCTCCTTCTTCGTGCAACTCTCACTGTACTTTTTGCACTTTTCTTTTGGCATGTACCACATTTAATCTTAGGCTATGCTTTACCTGTATACTGTTAATTCCCCTTACTTGAGAGTAACACTCTAAAAAAAGGACGAGTATGTTACTTAAATCAAGTAGGTAATAAATATTTGAACGAATGAATGCATAATCTTATTGCATGATTGACTGGAAATATCTGGCACATGGGCCAGGGAAACTGATACAAAATCAAAAGATATTTATAGCAAATTGATAAAAATAATCTCTATCCTCTGTCGCAGTCTGCAGAATTATAGGTTAGCTTAATTAACATCAAAACAAGTCCAGGTTTTTTGTATAGGAAAGACATAATTTAGCAAATCGCAGTAGGCAGGATGTATTAATCAAAGGAGGGAGGAAAAGGAGCATTTATTAAGTACCTACATTATTTTCTTTAATCCAAACTTATCAGGTATTATTTTTATCATCTCCATTTTTCAGATGGGGAAAGGATGCCCAGAGGAGGCTGATCTGACCAACACGACACAGTTAACAACAGAGCTGAGATTTTTCAACACAGGTTTGTCTCAATTCCTAGCTCATGTTTTTCTTTAATCTGTCACATCATATTACTTACCTAAATCTAATCTGTATTTATCTGATTCTTTTAAAGGAGACTGATACAGTGGCAGAGTTAGACTTTGCTCTTTGAATATTATTGGAGTTGAAGCCAAGTGATGATAAGGTTTCCTTTGTGGTGTTTTAAATAGGTTTGGTTCATAACTGTTGATTTTATATTCAGATTCTTCTGCAGGTTCAGAATTATAGGGTGGAGCTTCTGAAGAAAGTTCTTCAAACCAATTAAGACTTATTGGTCCTAAATCTGTAAAAAAAAAAAAAAAAAAAAAAAAAAAAAATTAAATAAAAATCCCACCTTGGTTTAATCAGTGACACAGAAAAATTCATGAACCAGTAAAAATAATAACAACAAAGAAAAGGATGCTTGAGATTTTGACTGTGGATTACTTTTGTTAAAACATATTAATTAAACAAGACCATTAATCTGTTCTCTTATGAAGGTATAGGTATAACAACAGTTCACAAAAGTTACAAGGAGATAGCACTTAGCCATATTAGCTCTTCTGAAGTTTTCTTTCTCTTATATACACGATTCAGAAACAAAAATCATTCATAGTAAGAATGTATTCCACAGATACAATTCAAATAATTATAAAGCCTACATAAGTCAATCTAACAAATCTATAGGTACAAGGAACATGTAGGTTCACAAATAAAATGGAAAAAAAAGATTCTTTGTTGAAGAGAAATGACAAAATTTCTACTATGATCTATCTACCCTTAAAGTAATGGTTTTCAAGGTGTGGTCTGTGGACCATTTTGGCGGAAGGTCTCCAAGACCCTTTCAGGAGGTCCATAGCTCAAAATTATTTTCATAATACTAAGGTATCATGTGCCTTTTTCACAATGTTTACATTTGTACCACTGGCGGGCAAAACCGACACCTTTGTATGAGTCAAGGAAGTGGCAACAAACTATACTAGTAGTCATTGTATTCTTCATCACCCCACACTTGCAAAAAAAAAAAAAAAAGCAAAAAGGCAGTTTAACTGAAAATGTCCTTAATGAAGCTGTAAAAACTAATTTATTAAAGTCCAACCTTTGAGCACATCTTTTTAATATTCTGTGACAAAATGGTAAATCTGCATAAAGCATTTCTGCATATTTAAGTACAACAGTTGTCTATAAAAGCACTCGTGATGAGTTGTCAACTGAATTAGCACTTTTTTCATGGAAAGCCATTTTTACTAGAAAGAGTGATTGACAAACTAAGTCATCTTGAGTTGGGTGGTTTGGTAGACATTTTCTCGAAAATGAAGTGAGCATGTTACTGCAGGGAAAACATTTGTTGCCAACAATAAAATGTGAGCTTTCAAACGAGAATTAGAATTTTGTTAAACTTTACCAGCATCTGTGAGCTTGACATCTTCCCAATCTTAAAAGATTTTCCTGATGAAATCAATGAATTAACAAATGTGATCTTTTATATTGTTTCATGCAACGCGTTAATACATGGAATATCTATGTAATTCAGAACACCCATATTTTCCAAATAATCAATGCGTGACGCCACAACACGGATGAAAGACTTATTCAAAGTGCAAGAAGGACTAAGAATTTAATGTAACAGGAGTATGAAAAGTTCATTATATGGTTTCAGATCCCACATTACAACTTTTAAGAAACTACCGCTTGTCTTTAGTGGTAATTTTGGTGTAGTATCAAAGAAAAATACCCACAGTTAACTGAAGATTATTAAAATACTCCTTTGTGAGGCTGGCTTTTCTTCAGATACTTCTACCAAACAACAAACTCCAAGAGATTAAACGTAGAAACAGTTATGAGAATCAAGTTATCTTCTATTAAGCCAGATATTAAAGAGAATAGCAAAAATATAAAATGCCATTCTTCTATTTTTTAAAATGTAGTTATTTTTCATAAAAATGTTATTCATGTTAATATGAAATGGGTTTATTGCTATTTTTAATTGCAATAATATTTTTTAAAGTTTTTAGTTTTAATTTCTAATATGGTAACCTTTGAGACTCTCATTTTTAAGAACGTAGGGAGTTACTGAGTCCAAAAGTTTGACAACTTGTGTTATAAAGTAACATTACCAACGCTTCTGGTTCGCTAGAAGTTCTATGCTTTGAAAACAATTCTACCTACTGCTAATCAAGGAGCCAGTCTTCTCTTTCTCCACCACGGTTTTATACTTATCACTTGGTTAACTGTAAATGATCATTTTCTTAACTGGATTTATGTCTCCATAGACAAGACTTCATACTGCTAACAAAAATGTCAAGTACTGGCTTCTTTTCAGCAAGCACACATATTTACATTTTTCTGAAAACATTTTCTCAGTGTAATAGATCAATTCATATAAAATGTCGATACCTGCTTTGTTGCATCGTGTCTTAAAAATGTCAAAAAAAGATGGCCTCTCTTTGCATCCAATAGGCATTTTTATTTAGAAGATTACTCCAACACTTGGTAAAAGAATCTGCAAAAGAAAATACCAAAATGCATTTTGCAGGGACGCAATCCCCCGTAAGCGACTCTGAGGTAAAATCAGAGGCGGGTAAACTTGCCTAAAGTCACAATGTTTACCTCCCTCGGCGCACCTTTTGGGACAATAATGGAACTCACTGCGACGATGGCAGCATTCTGTATTTGCGGTCCCATACAGTAGCCACGAGCCACATTAAGCACTGGAAATGTGGCAAGTGCGACTCAAGGTATAATTTTTAATCTCAGTTAATTTTAATGAAGCTAACTAGTCACCTGTGGCTGGTGGCGCGCAGTCGGCGAGGGCTCCTGCGCAGATAGACACCGTCTGACAACTCCAAATCAGTAACTCTTCCTAGTCCAGCAATGACCTGGGGCAGACACAGTGCGCTGGAAGCTGTTAAACATTTCCCCAAACAGTACTATCCCGTTAAAGTAACTTGGTCGTGCTTCCAATGAAGGAAGTTTCAGATTGGGACAGCTGGGAGGCCCACCCTGAGGGGCGGCTGGGGGCCAAGGGGCGGGGCTCGAGCCTGCAGCGCCGAGAAGCCGACCTGCAGCCCCAGGCGCCGGGCCAGCCTCCCCGGGGGCGCGGGGCCGGCGGGACCACCGAGGCTGGAGCCGCGGCGCCCACCCCGGGCAGAGAGGCGCTTGCCCGCCGCCCGAGACCGCGGACGCCAGGCCCGCCTCCACCCCGGCCGACACTAACCGCCTCCAGAGCTGCAGCTCTTCGGGCCAGAGGAGGCTGACGGACACCACGCCGGCGCTCAGACCAGAAAGCCGACCCCTCACGCTTCTGTCGGCGGCGACCACCGTGCCACACAACACCCCAGTCAGGGAGCCCCAGCAGCTCCGCCTCCGCTGACCTTCTTTCAGACGCTCGCGCCAAAAGCCCGCTCTCTGAGCACGTCACGCGAAGGCGCCGTGACGCGGCACGCAGCGTGCGCGCCGCCCGGAAGTCAGGGGCCGCCCGAGATGTCCCCGTTTGGCGAAAGTCTGGTGTTTGTACCAGTGCGTAGCAGTCGCTGTGGAACTGCATGAAGACGGAGCTGTGGTGCTTGTTGTCATTTCCCCGAGCCTTCAGAGTATCAGGCCGCGCAGTTTGGAAGGACGGCGCCCTGTGAATCCTCCCCGACTCCTTCCCTTTCTTTCCGCTCCATCTCGCCTGTGGGTGGCTGCCCTCGGGCACGACCTGGGGTCTTTGAAAAGCCTTCGTTCCGTCGTTAGAGCGGGCGTCCCCCCAAAGTGGGCCGATCTTAGAAAACCCCAGGGCGGGCCGTGGTTGTCGACGACTCGCTTCTCGCCTCGTGCCCGCTGTAGAGAGGAAGGGGCTGAGAGTTGAAGCCTGAGCACCTTAGTTCTAGCCTGCGTGTTGCCCTTAGGTAGCAGGTTTTCATGACCTCAGAGCCTGTTTCCCCGCTTGAAAAATTGTGAAACCCACCTTACCTCTCTCCTGCAGCGTTAGGTACTGCCCTCTGCGGGCTTCCGTAGTGTCCTTTACATGCTTAGGGTACCCATCACCCTGTTTAGAGTCTGTCTCCCCCCTCCAAACTGTCCTGGGAGAAGTCTGTCATCATTCACGGGGTCTGTGACATGCCTAGCACAGGGCTTAATTCAGGTTTGTTGTATGACCTAGAAAACCTTCCACAGGAATCTGGGGGCAAGAGCTGCTCATGGGCCTTGTTGCTTCTGGAGGGCTCTTGAGTGAACAGCAGAAGCAACCTTGCATTAGAAAAAAAAGTTGGGCTCTACTTGGTTCTTTAGGTGGCATTTTAGTTTGATCATCAAGAAGCCTTACCAATACACATAGACAGCAAAGCTTATGCTCATTTAGGTCTAAGTAACAGGAACACAGACCTGTGATCCCCATCAAACCAGAGCTACGCATTACTGAACATTTGTGAGTTACTCTGCTTTGTGCTGCACAAGCAATATCATGTTAAACATAAATTAATCCTATAAATTGGATAGTATTGTCAGACGGGGAAATTGAGTCACCTAGTTAAGTAACTTGCCTGGTAACTAGGCCCAGGTTTCAACTCAAGTCCGTTTGACTTCAGATACTTAACTATTCTGTGATTAAATCTGCATTTAGTTTCTAGATCAAAACAATTTGCTTTATTCCCCTGTTTTACTGGGGAGGTCCTCACTAGGAGTAGACTAATCAGAACTGTTGGCACGTCATACAACCCTCTGAAATGTATTTTCTCCCGCTATATACACCAGCCCCATCGCCCCAAACTTTATGCTCCTTGTTCCTTTGGTATCAGGATCTTTATATTGATCAGTTCTGTCATAATATACTTTCTTCCTTATACTCTTCTATTGTGACTGTTGAAATAATTTACTACTTGTATTAGACTTACTATATGCTTTAAAACAGGATCTCTAAAATGGTAAGTTACTTAGGGAATAAATGAATGAATTGCTAATTAAAGCAAGTGTGTGAATCAGAACTCAAATGAAAAACAGCTTTGAAAAAAGTTTCAGGAACAGTGGATTGAAGAGACAGGGAAGAGCAATTAGGAATCAGGTGGCAGTTAGACCCCTGTAGGTAGGTAGATCTCCTTCCCTCCTTCAATTAGGTTAATAGGCAGCAGCTCCCATCAGAATCGGAAATAAATGGAGAGCTAGGGATGGACCTTAACCAACTTGATTAGGAGAAAGAAGGGGTGGATGAAGGTGAAGGCAAAACAAGGACACAAACGAACTGCACCAGGATGTTACGCTGTGCCTGGGCGCCAGGTGAGCGGATGGAACGATTTGTCCGCGTTCCCTATGGCTTGTACCAGGGCTATGGGAACACACTACCTCTGGGCCAGCCTGGACACTCTGAGCACAAACAGTCCAACTGGAGGCAGAACGCTGGACCCCCGACTTTCCTGGCCAGGCCAGGGCTGCTGGTGCCTGCAAATACCCTGAACTACTGCATGGACCCTTACAAGAGGGCGCAGCTTAAGGCCATTCTCTCCCAGATGAACCCCAGTCTGCGCCTGCGGCTGTGCAAGGCCAACACCAGGGAGGTAGGCGTGCAGGTGAGCCCGCGTGTGGACAAGTCAGTGCAGTGCTCGCTGGGGCCTCGCACCTTGCGCAGCTGCTCCCCTTGGGGCAGGACAGGTCGCAAGACACCCCTGCCAGCCTGGGGAGTCTATACGCCTGTGATTGCCCACAGGGGCTTGATTGGGCTGCGAAAGGATGGGGAAAATGAAGAGAGGAAGGTGCTTTCCAGTCCTGCAGAGGCCAGCCACCAGCAGCAGCCACCACCAACGCCAGGGTCAGAAGAGGACAAGCAGGAGGAACTCCTGCAGCATGATGAATTGGGACCAGCAGATACCTCAAGTCCTCGGGAAAGACAGAACAAACAGGCACAGGGAGACGCTGCTGATCCACTCAGGAAACCCAACTTCCAGGTGAATTTTCTCTTCTCTCTCCTCCGTGCTCTGCTAGCCCCATCCTCTTTCCTCTTTTCCATTTCTAGGGCAATAAGAGCAAAATCTTCTGTGGCTTCTTCTCTTTCTTTGATGAAGGCGAGGAGGTTCTGAAAACATGTAGTGTTTTACATGGGCTATATGTTTTGCAACTTTTTGGTAAAATAGGGTGCTAACTTTGAGCATGTGAAAACCAAAAATCTGGCAACCATTGCTCTGGGGAATGAGGAGGCAGAAGGGTTTCAAGTCTGTGGAATATGTGATCAGATTTTTTTGTGGGGGCAGATTGTGCTGGTGGCAGTGTGGAAAATGGATTGGAAGAATCTCAGAGTAATCCTTGTCAGATGAGATGCTAAATTAATGTAGTAACCTTGAGAATAGCTGTGAATGAGGTTAAGGAGGCTTTTTGTTTTTTCTTATACAAAGCCACAAGGAAAGAAGGATCTGGCTTTTTTTTCCAAGATAGTAAAACACTTTTCCCCCTTATTTTCAGTTTTTGGAACCAAAATATGGCTATTTTCACTGTAAAGATTGTAAGACGAGATGGGAGAGTGCTTATGTATGGTGCATTTCTGGAACTAATAAAGTAAGTAAAAGTGAGTGGGACATGGGAGGAGGATGGGGCGGGCACATATGTTAAGTGGAGGAAGAATATATTTCCTAATGGAGGAGCATGACCCTGACAGTGTCCCATTCATCCTGGCATCCTCAGTGCCAGGCACATAATAGGGGCTAAGTAAATGTTTGAATTGAACTGAATTGGACTGTCCATTTGAACTCTTGAGGCTCCTGAGCCATATCCTGGTCTTGTACTTGGTTTGGCAGTTCTATTGGACAAATTGTCGGGTCATTTAGATGAACTCTTGTTCTTGTGTTTGTTGGGACTTTCTATAATTTTTTTAGTTTGCATATTTTGAACAGGTTTGGGCCTTAGCTCTAGGAAATTTCTGCTGTGTGTCCACAAGGTGGGGCAATGAGAGAAATAATTTATTGTAAAGGTTAGCTTGTGAGAGACCTTTAGGCTAAGCAGTTTTTCCCCCACTTGAGTTAGTTGTCACCAATTCAAGGCTGGGCAAGATTTCACATTCTCCATTTCCGGAGTTTCCTGAACGATCAGACTCTGGTCAGCATGGACTCTCCTCTCAGTGTAAGAACAGTTGGCTGGGGCGGAGCAGCTTCTGTCTCCTATCTGGAGACGTGTGCACTTCACTTTGCAACACTCTAATCTGGTCTATTTCATTAACTCCTACAAGCATTCGTGTTTGAGTCCCCTGTGCTGTTGCATTTTAGATACTGCCTTTCTCGCTAAGGGACTGAAGAGGGAGAGGGTAAGAGGCAAGCTAAGACCTGAAGGAAAACTCGACTTTTCACACTAGCCATTTTCTAGACCCTGGAGGCGAATAGATTTTTAAACTAAACTAAAATCACTTTCTTTCTCTTGCCAGAAAAAAAACAATGGGTTTAATTCAAATGCTCCAAGATAGTAGGATACAAAGAAGGCATAGAACTCACCCTCAAGAAATTTATTCTGATAGGAGTGAAGCAGATAAAATGCAATTTGGTGATATATACAGTGGCACCCGTGGCATGAAAGTGGTACAGAAATAACATGGGAGGGGGATGATTAATCCTGTTGGGGGGAAGGCATCATGATGTCCAAGCAGGATTTCAAAGAATAGGAGAGTTCACCAAATAAGGCAGGAAGAAATGTACAGAAGAAACTACGCAAAGCATAGAAACCGTGTGTACTAGTTGGTAACTACAAGTAATTTAAAGTTCAAGTGTGAGGGCTGGCCCCGTGGCCGAGTGGTTAAGTTCGTGCACTCTGCTTTGGCGGCCCAGTGTTTCGCTGGTTCGGATCCTGGGTGCGGACATGGCATCGCTTGTCAGGCTGTGCTGAGGTGGTGTCCCACATTCCACAACTAGGAGAACCCACAACTAAAATATACAGCTATGTAGTGGGCAGACTTGGGGAGAAAAAGGAGGAAAAAAAATTAAAAATAAAGTTCAAGTGGGGAAATACTAAAAAAAATGAAAAAGTAGGAGCTAATAGACTGGGACAAAAGGAGAAGGATTGGGCCCATACAATAAGTAAAATTATAAATAGCTGCTTCCCATTGAAGACTTTTACTGTGGTACTTTATGTAAATTATTGGATTTGTTATTGTTAGTGCAGTAGAGTCGCGACCATGTCTACAGTAGAGGGGAACCCAGCCCGGTTTTGGTTTTTGGGGGGGGGAGGGGATTTTTTTTTGCGCTCTCCTCCCACCTTCTGGCGCTGTATCAGACAGTGCTTCATTGCTGTTCACTGGGTTTTCGTAGCCAATTTTTTTGGAAGTGCTTGGCCAGGTCCTTCTTCCTACTCTGTCTTAGTTTGGATGCTCCACTGAAACCTGTCCATCATGGATGACCCTGCTGGTATTTGAAATACTGGTGGCATAGCTTTCAGCATCACAGCAACACGCAGCCACCACAGTATGACAACCAATAGATGGGTGGTGTGGTTCCCTGACCAGGAAATAAACCCGGGCTGCCGTGGTGAAAGCACCAAATCTTAACCAGTAGACTACCAGGGCTAGCTACATTATTGGGTAGTTGTCAGAATTATATTATAGAAAAAGTAAATAGTATCTTGATTTTACAGGTAAGGAAAATGAGGTTCAAAGAGTAAGAAAAAGTGACTGAGAGCACTAGAGTAGCTTAAGACCTCAGAGTAGACATTGGGCAAAAGCAAGGTACAAGGTGAGGGAATGGGTTACTTAAATTAAGTGGGGGACCATGGTACATATAAGCTTGTATAAAAAAAGACTATTTTCTCTTTAGGTTTATTTCAAACAACTCTGTTGCAAATGCCAAAAGAGTTTTAACCCTTATCGAGTAGAAGCAATCCAATGTCAGGTAAGCGTATAGTACACTTCCATTGTGTCTATAATGTTTCCATTCTTAAATATGAAGCTTCTGTGGCAAAATGTTAGGATTTGATAGAATTGGGTATTTGTATAGGAGTTTTAGGAAAAAAGCATAAATTCTAGTTCTTTATGTGGCGGGAGATTTACTCTTGTAAGATGCCTTATTTGGTGTGTTTATGTATGGGGTATGTGTGTTTTTCTTCAAACACTCTGTGTATAGTTCAGATGTAGTAATTTAATAGGTGACCTTTGTTATGCTTTTACTGTGTGCCAAACTTTGGGCTAAGTGCTCTCAATGCCTTCTCTCTTGTAATCGAACCTTTGAGGTAGGTGTTATCCCCATGTTACAGACCAGAAAGTTAAAGTCCCATAAGAAAATAACTTGCTCAAGGTTGGACAGGTAGTAGGTATTAGAGCTGTGATCAGATTCCACCGTGTTTCCAGTGTCTAGAAAGTCACAGAATTAGGTAAGATCTTATCTAAAACAGTTTTCAGGAGACCTCTTTTTAAGCTTTTCAGAAAAGTGTGACATAGCTGATTTTCATAATCAAGAGGTTGTTTAAAAAAATGTAAATTCTTCATTTAGTTAGAAACATTTGTTCTTTTTTATACTACTTAGAAATAAATGATATTTTTAAAACTAGTTTTAATAGTTTATGAATGATTTATCCTTAGATTTTCTAGTCGGACGTTCTCGTTTAGTCTGTTTATGTTTAATATAATTAATTGGATTTAGATATATTTTTCTACTATTTTCTTATACTCAGTTTTCTTTTTTCTTGTGTTCAACTGAATACACATATATTTTTATTATTCCTCCCTCTGTTGTCTTGGTAGTTATTCATTCTTTAATGTTCTTCTGGTGGTTACCCTAGAGATTACAGCATGGTTCTTTGACTCATAAAAGTGTACATAAATTGTTCGTCTTACCTCTCCTTGACAATGCAATGACATCAGAACATTCTGACTCCTTATCACTTCATCCTAATGTATATGCTGCTGTTGTGTATATATTAATTTTAAACTTCACACTATATTATTTTATATAGTCATTATTCCTTTAGCTTTAGCTACATATTTATTTTTTATGCTGCCCTTAGGTCCTTTATCTAGGACCACTTTCTTTTCACTTGAAGAACACATTTTAACCTTTCCTGTAGTTCAGATGACATTGTTTTGTCTAGATAGCTTTTTAAAGGATGTTTTTTGCTGGGTATAGAATTTTTAGGTTGGCAGTAGTTTTCTTTCTTCCGTTTAAGTATTTGAACTTCACTGTTTCTGTGAAGTTGGCTATCTGGTCCTATTGCATCTCCTTTGAAGTAATATCTCTTATGCTTTTTCCTCTTCTTAAATCTGCTTGCTTTTAAGATTTTTCTCTCTGCTTCGGTTTTCAGCAGTTTTACAAGAAAATGCCTAATTGTGGTTTCTTTGTATTTATCCTGTCTGGGATTCATAAGAGTTTCTTGAATCTGTAGCTTGCAGATTTGTATCACTTTTGGAAAATTATCAAATTATCAGCCATTATCTTTTAAAATATTACTTCTGCCTCATTCTTTTTTCCTTCTAATTATTCATATTAGACCACATCCCTTATGCCTTTTATGCTCTTTTCTATATTTCCTATGCTTTTGTCTCTCCTTCCTTCAGTTTGGATATCATCTACTAAACTAGGTTTCGTTTCTCTAATTCTTCCCTCAGCTCTTTCCAATCTACTATTAAACTCATCCGTTGAGTTATTGATTTCAGTTATTGTGTTTTTCAGTACTAGACTTTTGGTCTTTTTTAAAAAAATGACTTCTACTTTTCTGCTGGAAGTACTACTCTTATTTCTTTGAACATATTAAGCATAATTATCTTAAAATCTGTATCAGATAACTCCATTAACTTAATCCACTATGGTTCTGTTGCAGTCCTCTTCATTTTCCTTGGTTTTCAAGTATATTATTCTGTCTCCTCGTATACCTGGTTATTTTTAATTGAGTGCTAGATATTGTATATGGAAAATTATTGCGGTAATTTGAGGCCTGGGATAGTATCTTCAGAAGATTTGTTTGCTTCTGGTGGGCAGATGGGGACACTGCCAGTTTCAGATCATTATTTTCCAATCAAAGTTAGGCTGTTTTGAAGCTGGGCTTCAGCATCTGTGAAGGCTGTCAATCCTTATATCCATTAACATTAAAGAATGGTCCATCCTTATTTTTAAGCTATAGCCTTGAAGGGTCTCAACACAAAACCTGAACTGTTTACCAGGGCTCTTCCATTTTGGCATATTTAAGATTATTCCTCAGCCTCATCACTTGTTAAACTCATTTTCAGCTTGGTAATGTCTTTCACCTCTTCCAGAATTGGCAGACACCTTTAGAGATACCTCCCAAGTGTCAGGCTCACTTCCATTTCTGAATTTCCTTCTCTAATTCTTTGCTAATTCTCCAGTGCCTTCAGATAGTTCTTCTTTTTAAAGTATTATTTTTTTTAGCTCAAATTTTCTAGTTATCCTAAGCAGAAGGCTTAGTCAAAACCACCTAACCCACCATTGCCAGAAACAGAAATATACCTTTATAGTAAATCTTGATTTTTTTTTTAATTGAGCCTTTTCTTCCTTTATAAGGGTATTGTGAGGATTAAATGAAATCTATATAAAGTATTAGAACAATGCACATAGTAAACACCATGTAAATACTAGCTATTAGAATTTTCTCGTAAGAATGCATACTCATCAATGGAAGAGTAAAAGATGTAAATGTAGTAAAACATTTGATAAGTCATATTTAAGACTCATTTGGAAAGTAAAAATCCCTATTTTCACAATATGAACAGTAAAGGTTGACTTATTCTGTTTGGCTATGGACAAATGCAGAAAACAGAGCAGTGATTGTCAATTTCAAAGATTAGCAAGGTTGGGAGGGTTGACCAGGGCAGTATACCAGTCTCCATGGGATATGATTTTTATTTATCAGAAGACAGAATGGGCTAATGGTTAAGAACACTTTAAATTCTAGTAAGGATTAGGCATTTCCGGAAAGAAAAGAAAATTTAGCTTCCTCTAGAACACCCCTCCCTCCTAGTTGTGACAGCCAAAAATATCTCTGGACATTGTCAAATGTCTGCTGGTGGGTAAAATACCACTGGTTGAGAGTCATTGCCCTACTGCTTTTAAATGTTCCCGTCTAGATAATCAAATCACTTAATATTCGCTCATTGAACCTTACCCCCACCTGGCTACAAATGTAGAAACCTACATAGGGAAGACACTCTACAAAACTTGAACTTTTAAAACTTTTCTCTTACATTATATCTTCTTGATTGGCTTAGCAGTATTCTCTTAAACATCATCTTTGATCGCTCATTTAGAAAAATCCATGGCATTAATGGAACCAGGAGTGGGTTTTTTACCTCTTGGTCTTGGACTTTCATAGGATGCAAAGGAGAATGAGAATATCAGAGATGGGGTGGTGGGGAGAAGTATTCTGATTTGAGGATTACATTTGAAACACTAATTTGATCATTTAGTGTCCACACTGTTCCTTGTTTTCTAAAGACCTGTTCAAAGTCTCGTTGTTCCTGTCCTCAAAAGAAAAGACACATTGATCTAAGGAGACCTCATCGACAGGAACTGTGTGGCCGCTGCAAAGACAAGAGATTCTCCTGTGGCAATATTTACAGCTTTAAATACATTGTGTGACAGGCAGTATGACTTGTACAGGACACCTGAACTTATCTTGTAACTTGCTGTACTGTTCCTTTTTGCAACTTAGCTCTGACCTGGTACTGGAAAATGTATTAGGCTTTTGTACTTTTTGTAGGTTGTATAACAATTGTACAATGTGAATAAAATAAATGCATGTAAAATAGACCATGAAGGTACATTAATTGTGGTCCCAGGGTAAAAACGTCAATATAGCGTTGAGAAATGGTAGATACTATCACTAATATGAAGGGGAACAATAGTCAGTCATTTGACAAACTTTTATAAGCTGGGTGTTCTAAGCACTGGGAATATAGAGACAATCAAAGGGTAAGGTCCTTTCCTTCAAGTATAGATAGTAATTATAGCAAATGCTTCAACAGCACTTAGTGTGTGCTGGGCATTGTTGGAACTCATCACAGCAGCCATACTAAGTAGGAACTATTATACTTCTTCTTCATAGATGAGGAGAGGGAGCCACAGAGAGGTCATAGGATAGAGCCAGGATTTGAACCCAGGTGGACTAGGACTTGTTCCCTGGCTTTAACTACTACATTTACATTTTTTCTCAGGTTCAAATGTCGTAAGCGATATGAAGGAAACAGAGTGCTATGACAGAGTGACCCTTTCAGATATGGTAGTTGGGAAGAGGCGACCTAAGGATTGAAATCTGCAGGCTGAGGGAGCTGAGAGAAGAGAAGATGATTTTGATCCAAGAGAACAGCAAGATCAAAGTCCCTGAGGGGGTGGGACATGTACTTGGCATGTCCCCGGAATAGGAGCCCTTGAGGCTAATGTGCAGCATAGGCTGGGGAATACTGGGCTCAGGTCACAAAAGATTCTTTGGTCATAGTCAAGTGTACGGAAGCCCATGAAAGAGTTTCAACAAGGCAGTGACATCAGATTCTTACTTTAAAAAACTCATTGCTGTGAGGGAAGACCAGGTAGAGTGGAAGGAGGGAGACCAGTTAGGAGCTTGAGGACCACACAAACAGAATGATGGCTTGGACAAGGGTAGTGGCCATGGAGATGGAGAGAAGTACATTGATTCATAATAATGTTTGAAAATGTACAGGATTGGAAGTGTATGATAGGGAAATAAATGATGGCCCTCAGATTTCTGCTTTGAGCTATGGGGTGGATGGAATTGAGAGATACAACAGAAGCACGTTCTGGAGTCAGCTCACCTAACTTCAAATCCTAGGTATAGTACTTAGATATATGATTGTGGGCAAGTTACTTACTCTGTCTCAATTATTCTTCTGTAAAATGCAGGTAATAATAGTATCTGTCTCTTGGAGGTG